AAAAGAGTTTGGGGTCCAAAAAAGGGTCAAGAGGTCAAAAGTCAATTTCAGCAATGGAAAAGTGCTGTGTTAGCATAGTACAAATTCACCTGAGAAACTTCCATGTCTGTTTAGGATGAGAAAACAAACAGGAACGAATGAGTACATGCTCCCTTTTCCGACATGCATTTCTTGAAAAACAGCTATGCAGTAAGGAAATAAGCTCTATCTTAGATCCCACATGCAACATTTGTGTGTGAATTGAGAGAAAAAGAACAACTTGGAGCTCAAACCACCAAAAAACCCTATGTTTTTATCAGCTGTATAATAAAAACGTGGTCAGAAAACACTGATTTGAGATGTGAGCTGTATTCTGTTTTGCTTTGATACTTTGCATACTTTGATACTGCAAGTCTGGAAAGTGTTGTAAACAACTGAGATGCACTTCATTGATAAGCACAATTTAATGGACACTGGCTCAGACCCCCAGGCAGGAGAGGGTGAATAAAAGTAGACAATCTAGTTATGTCATCTTGTTTTGGCTGAACAATCAAGGTGTAATGCTCTTTAAAAAAAAGTCCAAAAATACTGATAGATGAGTAAAATAAGAAAATGTGCCCCACCTGTTAAAAAAAATAAATTATTTTAAAGAATTTTGGTAATTTCAGAGAATTGGCCTCACAAGAGTACAAACTAAGCCCACAAGAACATACCGGACATCGCATTGTTATTCATAAACTTACACGCAGACCCCTGTTTGTGATTTCTACTTTCCTGGATTGACCTTGGTCACCTGAGATTTCTGCTGGCATTATACATCATGTAATAATATCCACAGGTGTCTGTTTTAAAATTTACCTTAGTGTCTGTTTTTTTATATTCGACTTACTACTGTTACAAATTTATCCTCTTTAATCTGATATCCGGTGAAAAATTAAGCAATCGGTGTAAACTAGTGCAGCCCCGAAAGTAAACAGCGTCTTCAGTGAGGACACACACAGACAAGTCAGTCAAGACAGCAGCTCTATTCTCTCCACTGACTGCAAGAATACAGTTTAATCCTGCTTGCAAGAACAGAAATAGATCCCTGATAAAAATACGTACGCTACACCATCGTTAAATTCCTATGTGAAGAAATACAGTTAGTTCCCTTATAATACTGCTGTGTTTTCATTTAACCTTGAAACAATCTAAGTGTGGTATATGTTTATGTAAAGGTTATGAAACTGGACACAGTAATTACTAACAGTTAAAAAAAAAAAAACTGGTGTCATTGTTTGATCTTCAACTACTTTAAATCTCAAGAATGATCTTCAGGTAATTTTTTTTACACTTCTGGTGTTTTGGTCTGTGAGCCTTTCTTTAGAGTGTGTAGGTCTTAGGCTTTAAGAGCTCTAACTAAAAATATGTTTTCTATCCTTAATGCAAGATGTTCTTTGTGTAAATCTGAGGTTCCTTATTTGAACAAAATGTTTTGATATGACCATAAATGGGAACAACATGGTGGCAATCTGGTATCGGTCATTTTGCTAATTTGCTACGGTATCAAAGGCATTGGAAAGCCCCAAAATGTAAAAAATAGTAATAATATTTTTTTTAAAGTACTGGTAGCTTTGTAAAAATACTTTTAGTAGCCTGCAAAAAAATACAAATAAAAAATAAAAATAAAAATGCAAAAAAGTGGAATAAACCCAAATCACCAAGCCTCAAATAATGGATGGATGCTGTCAATGATATCTATGTAGTGGAAAGTTCACTTTTAGCCCAAGAGGAGAAATCTTTACGAGAAAATACACTGCTCTTTTTCAGTGAATTCATTATGAACAATCCAGATTCATAATTCATTGAGGCAGAGTTGTATTGACTGATGTGCCCCAATATGTATGCTTAATAAAGACTAATTAAAAAAAAAAGGAAACCCCCCAAAATGAAGAACAAAGTGAAAAGTATGGGGAAGTCTGTTAATCCTTTTCGGCAGCACATACTTTGTAACATATGCTTAGATAACCACTGTATGTGCCCACACAGAAGGAAAAATAGGAGACTTGCAGATCATGGGTCACTCAACATCTTTCTAGCCTGCAGACTCTAAGAGTCTGTTGCCATCGTGTGGTGCGTGGCAGGATTGCAATATAAGAAAGCTAATATGTGAGTAAATCTTTCAGTTTATTTTCATTTTTTCATGTAGCCTACTAAACTAAAAGTCTACATCTTTGGTTTCATCTCTGTCTCTGTCTGATCTCAGTCTTTAGGTCACAATGTAAAGCACATTGAGATGACTCTTGTTGTGATTTGGTGCTACATAAATACTATTGAATTGAACTGAATTGAATAGCTCGACAAATACTGAAATAGTAGTAACATTAATGACCATATGGCTTTTCATCCAGACCCATAATTAGGTAACATTTTCTATTACTTGGTTTATGATCAACACATGCAAAACAAATGACACTGACATTGGCTTTATATGTGCTTTGTTTTGCTAACAGTGCTAATGAGAAAATGTTCACATGCTAACAGAAGGTGAAAACAGTAGACATTACTATTCATTAGCGTGTTGAACAATGTCATTGATTCAGTTCAATTTGTCTCTATTCAAATTAACAATTAGATTTATTTCAAGGAACTTTACATTATAAGCTGTTTTACTTGCTGTGATTATTGCTGTAGCATGCTGATTACAGCTGTTAGCTTTAAGTAAGGGTTTGCTCAAGTACTGTATTAGAGACCACTGATTAGGCACAAGGAAACAAGTTTATCTGACCTAAAAAAGTTAAGAATAAACTTTGGGCTTTTACAAGAGGTCAGCTAAAAAGAACTAAACTCAGGATTTATCTGAAGTAAATGGGGACATACCTAAAAATAACACTGCTAGCTAATGTCTTAAAAATACTTGACCAAAACTAAACAAAGAATCAAGGGAAACGACAAACAAGAACAAAAAAACAGTTAGTGTAACAGTTACTTTTAACTTAACATTAATCAAATCCAAAACAACCACATACAGAACATCAAAACCAACGAATTAAATCAAGGTATTTTGACAAAACAATTCCGTTCCACCCCTGTGATGTGGCATCATTTGGTATATTCCAATTACTACTTCCTGTATTTATAGGAGCTCCATCCACTTCATTCAGAATATGCCACCAGAAGCATTAACAGAGCCAGAAAACAAAATTATATGTATGTGTAATTTAGCCAGACAAAAAACTAAGATGATTCAAATGTGTGTTCAAGTGTTTTTAGGTGACTTATACTATACTATTATACACTATAGTTGTGTGGCTGATAATGTGGCCATCTCAGTACTTCACAGAGCTGCTAACATGGTGATGGTGGGACACTTTAGTTTGCTGTAAGATTTAAGCACTCATTCATATTAGGTAAACTAAAGCACTAAGAAGAGGAAATATCCTGGTGCACAAGTGAGCATGCACAGTGAGGCTCAGGTGAGTGCGTACGTGATTCCTGTGTAGATGATACATGGAGCAACACAACCGGTGCACATCATACACATCCTTATCAAACTAAATCAATAAACACCTCCTGACCCTATCATGAATGTGCACAGATACACACTCACACAGACACATACAGTACGAGTAATCTATTGTAGTGGAAGGAGATTATGTATTTGACCTTTTGTTTAAGATGTTTATGAAACCTTATTATAGACAGGACCTCACTGCACTGAATCAAAGGATTAGTTTTCCCACAGAAGCACACAGCGTCTCATTTTCCACTGTCTATATGTGCATTACAGGTTTAAAGACTACAAGAGGAAAAAGCCTGAGTTTGGGTGCTGACCTCATCAGGCAGCGTTTTAACTAAACAGAGCTTATAAAGAGGAGGTCGAGATTAATGAGGAACTAAAGCGCTTTCACAGGTAGACCTAGGAGAGATAGACAGAGAGAGAGACAGAACTGGCATACTGTGACTGAAAAATATAACATATACAGTAGACATGAAAAGCAAAGGGTGTGTATGTAATACAAATATATATCTTATAATTTTGTAGATTTTGGTAGATTTTATAATCATTTCGATTTAATAATGCAACAAATTTTTCATTCACAGCAGTGCAGAAATAAGGAGACAAATAATATTTTATTTACTGATATTAATTTTCATTAAAGTTTTCAGTAATAACGTCAGCTAATTAATTTGTTTTTTTCATATTTGTTTTTCTTACTAGTCATTTTTACTGTGGATCCATTGCTATATCGGCATTTACAAGTACCAATAATTGTGTTTATCAGTGGTGCAATTTTGTATTGACTAAATATTCCTAGGTCCCACGGTGATGAGTGAAATTGTATTATTGTTATTATTTATATTTTGGACTAGCACAAAAGAGATAAAAACTATATTTATACTAATGATTATTAGTGGAGAATGTAAAAAATGTTAATAAAATAATAAAATTGCTATTTTAAACGTCTGTATTGACCCAGAAATTTAAAAACAGGACCATCATTTCTATTTATTGGTTTCAGAGCCTTTAAACCTATATCTGTATATCTATAATGCTTATATATTTAAACAAATGTTTAAATGTTTAAAACACCTTCTCAATAAAAAAAAAGTCTGAGACCAACAAAGAAGACTTGCTGTTTTTTCATTGTTTTTTAAGCTTTTTATTATATTCTCCCCTCAGAATTTTAAAGAAAAGTTATACACAATTGTGCATCGATGCTTAAATGCGTACATCAACAAAATCAGTAATTAACAGCAAAAAATGAGCCAAGTTGAATTTGTAGTGCAATGCCAGCAGAAAACCTAAAAAAACATAATTATTCCTTTAGGGACATGACAGTATAGATTTTACTTTTGTTTTGGACAAAAGCACAATGGTGTCTGGATCCTTTGGCCTACATATCCCTTACTACATGATCAGCTGATGAGTTTAGTACAGGCAGATCCCCACTAACCTTCAGCACTATCTGCTGATGACAGAGGGATTGTTGGATTCAGCCCGCTGCCTTCTCCTCAGGGATCTCCCTCTCTCAGTCTGCTTATCCCACTAACAAGAGGGGATTAATTTTTTATTTTTTTATACCTGCATTTGAATGTGTCCACTTCTGTTTCCCACCTTTCTGTGTAGTATCTGGGTAAGATTTCTTTCTTTCTTGGGGGGTAAAGTTTAGAAAGTTGTCACTATGCAAGTGTTTCCTTTCTTATTTTGTCTTCGATTTCTAGGTGGGGAAGTTGGAGGAGCAGTGTTGGACGTAGTGGGAGCTCGATCACTGAGCTGAAGAGGGAGAAGACAGGGACACTTGGAAGAGGACAAGGAAGAAGCAATCATGGGTGTACAAAAGGAAGACGTGGAAAAGTTCCTGAACGGGAATCCTGATTTTGCTAAGAAGTACTTTGCCAAGAAGATGAACACCTCCACCATATCGAAGGTTTCAGGACTCCCAGAGAAACAGATTGACTTCAGCCAGTTTCAAGAGCTCAGTCAGGTAAGTTACAGTTTTATTTTCTGTTTATTATTAATATTATTTTTGGATTTTTAGTGATTTTTCTGTCCTTTTCAAGATCGAGGAAAGCAAAATCATGTATGACCTGATCAAAGACATGCAAGAGAACATCAACATGGAAAAGGTGGTTTTCAAGATCCTGAGAAGAGTCAGCGCGCTCATCCACGCCGACCGCTGCAGCTTGTTCATGTACCGCCAGCGCAATGGCGTGGGAGAGCTCGCCACACGACTCTTCAACGTGAGCAAAGACTCCGAGTTTGACGATTGCATTGTGCCACCAGACTCTGAGATCGTGTATCCGCTGGACATGGGAATAGTTGGCAATGTGGCTCTGACCAAGAAGTCAGTTAATGTGAAAAACGTCAAGGAGGTAAGGAGGAGGGAGGGCTAATTAATTAGAGGGAAAGCTTAGATGATGAATGGTGTGATTCATATTAGATTACCACCAGGTGACACACAGTGGCTAGAATTAAGAATTAAATCAGTTATAAATATATCACAATAACACTTTTGATTTATATTCTCATTTATATTCTCTCCAATGGAAGTTAAAGGTGGTGGCAAGTTACCCATGATCTGTTCAGTTCTGGTGGATAATCGAGCGCTCATTGGTTGCACATGAAAGAGGCAAGAATGTCAAGATTTATTACAGTCTCTTTAAAATCAGCCTCTTTAAAATCAAACAGCAAGAGCTGCCGCTACTCTTTTCCTCACAGAGTAACAACAAAGTAACATTTTTGCATGTTTGCTTTCGTAAATATTCACATATATTAGATATCATACCCTAAAGCCTCATGGTTATAGGGAGAGTAAAAGAAAAGCTAGTCCCACACTACACTTGACCACCTGAAGGTGTAAATCCCCTTGTCAGACATAATCCATTTATCTTCAGATCCCATCAGGCTCTGCTCTAGCTGTGGATTAGACATCTCTGGCATTTAGTCAGCAGGAATCTAAAACAGATCATTTCACTTTGATAGCTTACTTTTATATCCCTGTATAAACCTTATATTGTTATTTACACTGTTATATTTTAAAGGAACAGTAGCATGCATCATACGTTTTGTAGTTTCATAATTAAATTGAGTTAACAAACTAATAAAAATGTGGGATTTGTGGGCCATATGATGCGTTCTTACCTACACACTTACCTCTTATTATAGACTCTATTTATTCTCTAATAAATCGACTCTTGGCTCCTGCAGAGCTCTGCTGTATAAAAGTTGTTCATTGTCTCTATGCCACCGTGTGAAGTTGGAGTATTTACTATATGTGTACACACATTAACTGTAGTACATTGTAAAAGTCTTCTGTCTTAAAAACAATAATATTAAATGAATTTGTCTAGCGATACATTCAGTGTATTCGGCTTTCAGTAAGGCCTTATGAAAGCCTTTGCAGTGTTGTATTAATAATGTTTTCTGGATGAGCAATTACATGTCTATGTGCTCTGAAGGCATCTTTACTGCATTTTAGAACCAGCACTTCAGCTCATTTGTTGACGAGCTCACAGAATACGAGACCAGGAATATTCTGGCTACACCCATCCTCAACGGCAAAGACATGGTGGCAGTGGTCATGGCTGTGAACAAGACCACAGGACCACATTTCACTGCTGAAGATGAAGATGTGAGTCCAAACCACAAAAGCACACGTGCTTGAACCACTCACAGTTGAAACTAATGTGCACAATTCGGTAAACAATGTTTTTCTGCTTTAAGGTAAAGACAATCAGCTTTAGACAGTCAGTCAGCCTTAAGATTGTAATTAAAGACAATTCGTTTATTATTACAGCTGATAAGTATTGCGTGAAATATGGGCAAGGTCATTAATGTCAGTTAGGGATGCCCCCCTTCCTCTTAAAAATATACCTGAACTGAATGGACTGAGAGCCACATCAGGTTAATGCATCAGAATTAAGATTCATTTTTCCCTATTTCATATGTTTTACAAGAAAATATTTCAACATGGCTAAAATAATGCCACGTTATGTATCCACAAGCTCGGGGAAGAGCAGAAGCCTGTTATCGGACATGTCAGTATGTTCTCTGTTTAAAAAAGGCACAATAATAAATATAGTAATAATAATAATAATGTGATGTTGCTGATTATATTTATAGTACATTATCTTCATCACCCCTCGACCTTCATTTACAGCATTTTTTTGTACCACAAATTTAATCCTGCCACTTATTTTTTTATGTTATTTTGACCCCGTTTTCTCCATCCTCACAGCTTTTTTTGAAGTATATGAGAGTTGCCACTTTGAACTTGAAGATCTACCACCTGAGTTACCTCCACAGCTGTGAGACGCGTAAAGGACAGGTACGGCAGTTTTAATGTGCTGTCTTTGATGTAGATACAGAAATATTACTGCAGTGTTACACTTGCACCGTGTATTAACCTAATTTTCACCCTTCTTTAATGTATATTTTGCATGTTTTGTAGCTGCTGCTATGGTCAGCCAACAAGGTATTCGAAGAGCTGACAGACATCGAGCGACAGTTTCACAAAGCCTTGTACACAGTCCGAGCCTACCTCAACTGTGACCGCTACTCTGTTGGTTTACTAGACATGACGAAGGAAAAGGTGTGGCTTCTTTCTGTATCTTTGTGTGTGTTAAGCCGTATTTTTGTACCACCGTGAAGTTACTGACTCGTTCTCTGCTTCCAGGAGTTCTTTGACATCTGGCCAGTTTTGATGGGAGAGCAGGCACCTTACTCTGGCCCTGTAACCCCTGATGGCAGGGTATATTCTTTTATTTTATTTATCTAACATTATTACCAGCACTGCCTTTGCTAGTAAATGTCTACACACTGCTTCCTCTTTCTCAAATATCTCTGTTTTATTTTGATTTTAGGAGGTAATCTTCTACAAAGTGATTGATTATATTTTACACGGAAAGGAAGACATCAAAGTAATACCGTAAGTGGTTAGATGAAAAAAATAAAAGAGATTAATAAAGTTTTAGTGAGAGATAACATCTGTTGACTTACTGCCTGTGTGTCTTATAGCAATCCTCCCGCAGATCACTGGGCTTTGAGTAGTGGCCTTCCCACTTATGTTGCTGAGAGCGGCTTTGTAAGTTTCTTTTTAATTACTTGCAGAAAGCTGTCAAACCAGTTTAACCTTATAAATATTTCCAAACTGATCAGGTTGTTCTCTTCCCTCTCGTAGATTTGTAACATTATGAATGCAGGCGCTGATGAGACGTTCAATTTTCAGGTAAGATATTGTAGATGTCACTGTGTAGAGAGGACGCTACTTTATTAAAATAAACAAAAAACAAAACAAAACAAGCAAACAACAGTGCAGAGTACTTTTAGAGCAGTGGCAGTCACAGTGGTATCCGGGAACGCCCAGGGGTCTGTGACCCATAGCCAAGGTTTGTCGTAACTTTAAAACGTTAATATCTAAAACTTCAGTCAGGGTTTATCAAACCTGTCATGCTTCTTCCTGGTTTATTATCCAGGTGACTAGTGGCCAAGGGGGATGTCTGAATCAGTTATCATCTTTAAGTTATTCTAGGAACAAACTGGTTAAACAGAGAAAATATGCAGACAATCATACTAAGCTTGAATTTTTTTGAAAACACCAAAATGCATCATTAAACCAGACAGAATGATTTACTGGAAAATTAACATGATTAAAATGAAACCTGTTTCTTCATTATTATTAAGACCCCCTGAAGTATTTGGGCTACAATGTTTTAGATTGTAGTTACAGTTCTAAGCTTAAACAGGCCACGCAAGATGTTCTGCTTGTAAAAAAAAAGCTGAAGAACCTTTTGCATGTAGACATACGTTATGAGGCTTGCTTGTTTCTTGTGTGTTGCAGAAAGAGCCATTGGACAGCAGTGGCTGGACAATAAAAAATGTTCTCTCGCTGCCAATCGTCAACAAAAAGGAAGAGATAGTTGGCGTAGCCACGTTTTACAACAGAAAAGATGGAAAGCCTTTTGATGATCAGGATGAGCAGCTCATGGAGGTAACAGTAATCTTCACAAAACCATTTAGTGCAAATAAAGAAAAATAAAGTTCCACCAATGTAATCTGGGAAGATAAAGGGTCTATATCTGTTTTATGTTTATGTGTGGAGTCCACTGCCGACACTGTATGTGGTGAAGGCTGTACGTGTAACATAGATGGCCATCTTCTGATGATTTTCCTGTTTCTCAGGCTTTGACTCAGTTCCTGGGATGGTCGGCGTTGAACACAGACACCTACGACAAGATGAATAAGCTTGAGAACCGCAAAGACATCGCTCAGGACATGGTGCTCTACCACGTCAAATGTCGAGATGATGAGATTCAGAACATCCTGGTTTGTCCTGTTTAAATGTGTTTTCTCTCCCAGCTGTTAACTGACTGTAAACATTACAATATTTAGATGAATGACAATAGAAAAGGTTTCCAGCCACATTTGAACTCCCACCTCACCAAAAGACATTGCAAACCATCCAACAAGAACCAAAAAAAGCTTTTAACAAGATTCACTAATTCTTCTCTTTGTAGGAGACCAAACTAACACTTGCCACCTTTGTACTTTGCGTTGTTGCCTCAGTTTAAACCTATAACATCAATGGTTTTTGTAATTTCTCCCAGTACACCAGAGAGCTCTATGACTGTGAACCCAGAGACTGTGAAGAGGACGAGCTCCTAGCTATCCTGGTATGTCCAACATGTGTATTGTGATGTCCAGCACATGAATTTGTCCCTCAATTTGGCTTATTTTACCAGAAAAGTTTGACATTTTCCATATATGTCTCTTTTTCATTCATTTCCCTCACAGAAAAAAGACCTTCCTCCACTAATTAAGAAGTTTGAGATCTATGAGTTCCGCTTTTCAGATTTTAATTGCACAGAGATGGAGTTGGTGAAGTGCGGGATCCAGATGTACTATGAAGTCGGTGTGGTCAAGAAGTTCCAGATTCCACAAGAGGTAATGCAGATAAACACAAGTGTGCATCTTTATCTTCAGTTTGTGAACAGCCTTTTGGAGCTGTGTCATTTTTAAATAGATTTCATGTCCTCCTCTCCTCTCAGGTGCTGGTTCGATTCATGTATTCAGTCAGCAAAGGGTACAGAAGGATCACCTACCACAACTGGCGTCACGGCTTTAATGTTGGACAGACGATGTTTACGCTACTGACGGTATTTCTTTAATTTTATCAACCTCCATTTACCTCAGCTTAAATGTATATCTTTATACACGGCATGACAATATCTTGTGTGTCTCTGTGTGCTCAGACAGGAATGCTGAAGCGATACTACACTGACTTGGAGGTAATGGCGATGATAACCGCAGGATTCCTTCATGATATTGATCACAGAGGGACAAATAACTTGTACCAGGTCAAGTAAGTGCTTATGGGAACTTTTTGATTTCTCACAACAAAGGTTTGCAGCATTATATAGCATTTATATATTATTATATTAATATATTGTACAGTACCTTGTGCAATATAATTACAATACCTTGTAATCCCAGTAAAGAGATTCTCCTCTTTCTGAAACAGTTTGAATTTTGTCTCTAACACAGAGTTATGGTCATTTAAAGAGTGCTTGTAAAGTGGGCCTGCTGGCAGGTCGATGATAAAAAGAAAAGTTAAGGAAGGAATTTTTTGACGTAGTCACTATATTAGGTTTATTTTGAAAGGGGGAAATGATGAAGTAAATTCTCATTTACTTTCCAGCAACAGATTCTATAAAGTAATTAGCAAAATGCCCTAAAAAAGGAAAAAAACTACTGGCTGTTTAGCTTCGATGCTACTCTGCTGCATGTGCTGCAGATGTCACTGAAATGGCTGCAAATGGTGAAATCTAAGGCACAAACCAAGTAATTACACGATTTCTGAATTATGCCAAGCAATCAGCTTGTAAACAGAAACAGTGAGTCGTCATTGTTCATTTGATGAACCATAGCTACATATTTGTTTAGTGATCCACAGTCATTACTACAGTGATTATGCATTCGCTTGTAGTTCAGAATGAGCATTAGATCGTCTTAAAAGTTCACATGCACATTTTAACCTTTCAGGAGATCTTTTGAAAACAAATGGGGAAAATGTGGTAATAAACTGAATGATATTTTAAAAAGCCTGTTAATTCTTTTAAAATATTTCATATATAGTAACTATTATGATAACCGACTTCAGTCCCATTTGAAATCTTGCTGGTATCTGAGGATTTGTATTTTCCATTCAACAGATCTGGTAATCCTCTGGCCAAGTTACACGGCTCTTCCATTTTGGAACGGCACCATCTAGAGTTTGGAAAGTTCCTCTTGGCTGACGAGGTGAGTAACAAGACGCTAACGAGAGATTAGCTTAGGTTACTTGTATTCTTTATTCAGTCACTAATGACATTTCTTTGCTCCTCTCCTATGCAGACACTGAATATCTATCAGAACCTTAACAGGCGACAGGTTGACCACGTGATCCATCTCATGGACATCGCCATCATCGCCACTGACCTGGCTCTTTATTTCAAGTCAGTACTACTTTTCATTTGCCTGCCCTTGCTCCCTGACGATAAATGTCTTATTTTTCTAATGTTTTTACTGTCAAACTACATTAAAAAGTAGACAAACAGTAAGTAAATGATTCTTCTCCTTGCACCTTTCTAGGAAGAGAACCATGTTCCAAAAGATTGTGGACCTCTCACATACGTATGAGGATGAAAAGAAATGGGTCGACTTCATGTCACTAGAAACAACCAGAAAAGAGATTGTCATGTGAGTGCAACTAGCATGCACAGTGTTACTTGCCCCTGCACATTTCTCTGAGGCTGCAAACTGTTTTCTGTTTCAGGGCCATGATGATGACCGCATGTGACCTGTCCGCAATCACAAAGCCTTGGGAAGTTCAGAGCAAGGTGAGAAGCACAGAAATTATTGGTGTTGTTAGTAAGCTGAGTCACAAATGAGTAAATAATGATTTTTGTATTATTTAAGAGCATAACCATGTTTGTATGTCTTCCAGGTTGCCTTGTCTGTGGCAGCAGAGTTTTGGGAACAGGGTGACTTGGAGAGGACTGTACTGGAGCAGCAACCCATTGTGAGTTTATTTACTGCTGGAGTGTATTTGTGCTCATAAAAATATACTTATTTGTTTCACATTTAAATATATAATTATTCATTTGTTGTTGTTTTTTTCATGATACTGCCAGCTAGATACAATGTCCAGTACTATATTTCCTAGCTTATTACAGATGTGTAAAGGACAGAATAAAGTTGTAGTGTCTCTTCAGCAGCCCACACACACGTCACTTTAGGGATCGCACTCATTATGTAGCTGAGCAGAAACCCACCTGAGGAAAAGGTGAACTACTCGTACAGAGGCAAAGGATGTCATAAGACAAGTTTCAAGTAAAAAAACAAAGCTTTTTCAGACAAAGTGCAGTGACTGGGGGCGATCGTGGCTCAAGAGTTGGGAGTTTGTCTTGTAATCGGAAGGTTGCCGGGTCGAGCCCCGGCTCCGACAGTCTCTATTGTTGTGTCCTTGGGCAAGACACTTCACCCGTTGCCTACTGGTGGTGGTCAGAGGGCCCGGTGGCGCCAGTGTCCAGCAGTCTTGCCTCTGTCAGTGCGCCCCAGGGTGGCTGTGGCTACAATGTAGCTTGCCATCACCAAATTCAAATTCAAATTTTATTTGTCACATACACAGTCATACACAGTACGATATGCAGTGAAATGCTTAGACAACTGCTCGTGACCTAAAGAAAAAAAAGAAAAGGCTATGAATAAGATAGGAAATAAATATGAAAATTAAAAAGGGTAAATTTAACTAGGAAGGAATAAAATAAAATAAAATATAAAAATTAAGTTAAAAATGAGATAACTGTACAACACAAATTAGAATGAAGGGTAAATTTAACTGGGAAAGAATAAGATAAAATATATAAATTAAAGTAAAAAATTTTGTTGTACAGTTATTTTATTTTATTTTTATAAAATAAAATAACTGTACAACAAATTTAATTTATATATTAATAATAATATATATTTATATATTAATAATAATTTATATATTAATAAAATACACAATACACAGTATAGAAATATGTAAGAATGTATGAAGAAATATAAATATATATATATACACAATAACAGCAGCTGTACAAGTATTAACTGGAAATGAGGAATATAATGTCCAGTGTTGTGCAATCCACCAGTGTGTGAATGTGTGTGTGAATGGGTGGATGACTGAATGTGTAAAGCGCGTTGGGGTCCTTAGGGACTAAGTAAAGCGCTACACAAATACAGGCCGTTTTTACTATTTTAAAGTAAAAATGTAATCGTGTGTAGAAGTGTGTGTGATTAGCTACAGACTTGCACAGATTTCATTAATTATATGAGAGTTCTGACTGCGCTAAATGTTTGTCCCTCCCACCAGCCCATGATGGACAGGACCAAGTCAGCTGAGCTTCCAAAGCTTCAGTGTGGTTTCATTGACTTTGTCTGCACGTTTGTCTACAAGGTAATAATGATTATTACATTCTTGCTCACCGAATATGTGCACTGCATGGCTCCTGTCACTGTTTCTGTGCAAAAACTAGGTTAGTCTGAACACATTTAAACCACTGGGTCAATTCTTCTTCTTATTGTTTTTTTTTTTATTATGTATTTGTGTTTTTAATGGAGCATCACCATCTCCTGTACAGCTCCCCTCTTCTATGCTGCTCCATGCTAATTTTTTATTTCTTCTTTGCATCTTATCTTTAAGGAGTTTTCTCGCTTCCACCCACAAATCCAGCCCATGCTGGATGGCATCTTAAACAACAGGAAGGAGTGGAATGCCAAAAAGGAAGAGTATGAGGCTAAGCTCAAAGCCATCGAAGAAGAAAAAGCTGCTAAAGAGGCAGCGGCAGCCAGCAAAGGTAGGGTGTGTCTTTACAATAATCAGAACCCTACAAGGAACTGTTAAAAAGGTTGTTGACTCAGAGAGGCAGAGCACTGAACCCAAACAGGTGGAACAATGTAAAGTGCAAAAATAAAAGAAATGCAATGATTTGAAAGTTATTAAGTAATCAGAAGATAGCACAGAGACAACCTTTCACAGTGCTAAAAAAACAAACAACAACAACAAAAAAAACCCAATTTTAAATCGATACCAATTAGCCCAGTTTGGTGTCTGGTTAGATCTAGACCGCATTTTTTAGACTGTTTAATACATGCAGAATTCAGTTGATAGCTGAATATGTTGTACACAAACCTTCAAAAATCATTTAGCATTAATGGGGCCTTCATAGAAGGGCAAGTTACTCACATCATGTGCACTAATCCATCTCTGCACCAATGAGCTGCATGCTGATAGTAAGCCAGGTTGAATCCTCCGTCTTTAGTGTGGAGGATTCAACATTAAAAAAACAAAAACAAGAAATAATGTCAGTTTTTCCACTTTTTTTCCACCTCAGTTCATCTTGAATGGGTTCAGGCCCAGAGGAGGTGATGGTGCTTTTAATTTGCTTCACATCTGAAACACCAAACCTCTCTGAGGTCTCTTTTTCTACCTAACTATGTCATCGACTTGTCATGAGAATTTCCACCAGGTTTCCAGCCTTTCTTTGGTCTAACACCAATATCTTTGAACAGTGTTGTGTCTATTTTTAATTAAATATCTCGTTTGGATTGTAGAATGGGTTCATATATAAAAATTAGCCACAACACAAGTGATCATTTGGTTTCTAGTGCTTTAATTGTATACTTACCCTTTTGTTGAATATTTAATTGTTTAACAGCGGCTGCAAACAACCCCAGTGGTGGGTCTGGCTCCAAGACCTGCTCTGTGTGCTAATCAACCAAAGAACTGCTGACATTCCTGGGGTCTACGAAGACACTCATGACAGACTGAGTCTCACCCCAGCAGAAACAAACAAAAGAAAAAGTCAGGAAGTCAGGAAGACGGATATATGAATGCACAGCCCTGTAGTAACTCTTCAGAAAAGGGGGTCCAGTCGGAAAAGGAAAAACCTGAACACGGCGAGATCTCCACCAAGAAGAGCAAAGCTTTATTTTTAAGAGGCCAGGTGAGCCAAAAATTAATTCAAATCAAGGAAAGACTGACCACATTTTGAAAAAAGGAAAAAAATCCTGCGATTACATTTGAGGCAAAATTGCTGCTTCCTGTCTTAAAATAATTGTACTTTTATGAATCAAGAGTGAAGATGATTTTTGCATCTCGGGTTCCTCTGATCTTAAAAAAGTTTGCTTATCTTTAAAGGATTTGTGTTAGTGACAATGTGTGAATGTGTGTGTGTGCGCTGTATGCTTGTTGTGTGTTTCTCATATGTACAACTTTTTTATTTTTTCCCCAATTCTTCCAAGTATTTATTTACATGGCAAACATCTCAGGAGGACACAGCCTACATCTGTGTAGTAAACAGTAATCCTGTACAGAAAGTGAGTGCAGTGCTTTTTTTTAAATGCTCGGGCCTCTTTAGATTATTTAAAATGTTTGGGCTTTTAATTTTTCATATATTTACTATTATAGTACTTTAGTTTTCACAGAACATAGACAGTTATTGTTTAATCATATTCAAAAGTAATCCACTGTTGACTACTTCCAGTCACTTACTATTTACAAATGAGAGTCTGTTTACTTTGTCTGCAGAGAGCCAAAGGTAAATGTTCGGTCGTGCTACAGGAACAGCTTTTAAAAAGAGTTTTACAGTGAACACTTATGAGTTCACAGTCAGCAAAAGTCTGTAGATGCTTATTCATGATGCCTTTATATTGTAAATATACAGTATGTGGTCTATGAGTGTGAGACGGTAGCCTCGGATATGTATTTTCCAAATATAAAATTATAAATGTCTTATTAAATAAGAGCGGGAAATCAGGTGGTCACACGTAAAACTGATTTATTTGGTTGATTTTGTCTGAGTTTTAATTCATTTTGCTCTGTTCATATCTGCTACAACATGAGCACAATCAAATACTGGGATCAGAAAGTTTACTCAAACTGCTTTAGAGGGAGTTGTACTACATCAATCCCTGATTGAAAGCTTCTCCCTGCACTGGACTCCTCCCAAATAGGACGAGGAGTCAGTCAGAGCTCACCTGCTCAGCATCAGGAAGAGTAACCATAATGACAAACAACCATGTGGCTTATGTGAAAGGATACAAAAGGAAAAGCAAGAACAAGCAAACGCCACACGACTGGTCAGGTTTCGAGACCCAAACCCAGGACTGTTGTGCTGCGAGGCAGCAGCACTAATCGCTGAGCCATCAGGCTATTCTTATAACAATCCCTGAGTGCAGGCCTCGAAGGCAACAAGGACACAGAGCTGTTTGAGACAGCATGAAGAAGCAACTGAGCTTTGTGTATAGACTTGTACATACCATCGCCCTTCCTGTAAATATTAAGATGCAAATATTTTTCTAGTTTGATGCTAGAGGGCCTTACCTTATTATTTATAAAGCACTAGAAAAAGAGTCATAAAGCTGAATAACAAATGCATTGTGCTAGCTTCAATTTACAAATATTTAAAGTATTTCAGATATGGCACTGCTATGATAAAAATGCCTGTGTGATAATATTAGGTCCCAAATCAATTTAAATGTGCTTTGGATGTACCCTGGATGTTTTTTAATAGACTTAAATTACTTTTTGGTCAGCATTTCAAAGCTTGCCTCCTCATGTGCTCCAAATGTACAATGATGACCCCAATAAAAGCAAGTGTATTTTTAACCGAGTGGATTTATTTCCTGTGATGGTGAAACTTACCAAGAGCCAACATTATTGTTGGAATCTGGTCATTTATTCATTTATGAATCTTCCCCTCATCCTGAATGCAGGGGTCAGTTAAGGCACGTCCTGGCCTTAACTGACCCCCAGCCATTATGATTATAATGCAAGAACATGTTCTATATAATGCTATAATGCAATATGGAGTTCATTATGAAGGTTACAATATTACACAACGCACAAGAGTATTGAGGGATTGCTTCTGTCCACACTGCACTTTCTACTACTGGTCCCTGACCCCAATCCTAGGATTGCTGCTAAACTAGGCCAGGATTACAACCATGCTCCTCCTCCAGACTCAATTCCCACTGAAGGACAGGTGTACACACAAACACAGACTAGCTCGAGTCACGAAATGTGCATGTGTGTTTGTCAAACGCAACTAGAAGGTTCAAAAGGCTTAGTTCAGAATAAGAAGTGACGACTAATACGAGGCAAATTTAAAAAAAAGAAAAAGAAAAAAAGTAAAGGACACTTTATTGATTACATTAGAAATATTTATTGTTCAGCAACATAAGTCAGGAAATGGTTCATTTGAGGATGGTGTCAGAATTTGCTGCAGAGACAGAAAAAGAATGAGGAAACATGAATATGTTGGCATTAAAACAAACAAACCTAATTTTATGTGACAGACAAACAAAGGCCGTGTGTGATTTGCGTTACCTTCAGAGAGTTGTTTGTAGATGCGTTCCTGCTCCTCTCTGGCCTTCTTCTCCGCTTCCTCAACCCTCCTCTCCTCCTCAGCAATGGGCTTCAGGTAATCTTAACAAAAATTACAGAGCCCATCACTAAGCATTCTTAGAAATCACAGTGGTATTCTTAAGACACATTACACAAGTGTATCTGAGCATAGATAGTCCTCATTTTCTAAGACTTTTGTGATTTCATAAGTCCATCCTATAGTTCCCCCTCCCCATGTGCTAAAGACATCTTCATGGAAATTAAGGGTGCCCTAAAGTACAAATAATCCTTGCAAGCACATATCCCTTCCTCTGTGACATAAATTTATTAATAAGCAACTCCTGGAGATCAGACATCTCTTAAGTAGTTTTCGCAACTGTTTTTCCTTCTGTCATACCAGTCTGTGTCTAATTATGTGTGCCTTCTTACATGCTTCATTCTTAATATAATTTTAGTAATTCAAGAATTAAGGTGGCAACGTCCTGAAGCTTTATGACTTTCAAAAGATAAAGAGTTAAATGACTAAAGCAGATAAAATTATCTTAGAATAAAAAGAAAGCTTTCTATGAAAACTTTACTTTAAAGAAAATGTATGTCTTTTAAAAGACCCTGGAAATTTTAGCTAACAAAAGCAAAGTGGCTAAACTACAAGCATGAAGTCTCGGTGTTAGCAAAGGAGCTCAAAGCAGCTATGAAGAGGGAAACAGAGAAAAACAAATCTGTTGCACTTGCTTTTGAGCAACACCTAATCAGTTGTTTCAGTAAGAGAAGATCCTAGAAATCAGAATCAACCACGAAAACTGCAATTGGTGCATCTCCTGTTTAGGGTATAAATGCTGTGATATGTGGTACAGTAAAAAATTAAATAAAACCCTTGCATCAGTCACAAACAATGTACATTCCTGACTTTTTGTTCCAAGTTTTTCCTTTTACGCACTGACACAAACCAGTTAACGCATGCGCACACATGGACTTACCAAATCGCTGTTTGCCGTAGATCACGCCGAGTAGCAGGGCAGACCATCTGGCCGTCTGAAATGGAAAAAAAAATTGTGTTAACAAACATGTTATCAAGCGAAACATATGTGAATAACCAGCTAACCGTGCGTGATTCATATGTCGCAGCTCACGCACGGTTATCTTGTTCATCATATGATATGAACAAGATGAACTTAATTTCCACAGCCTGTTCTGTCGTTACTGTCAATCGCTAATATATAACTACCATTTTATGCTTAATTCTGTAATTTCATATTTAAAAACATCGTGTGTGGTCACGATACCGTACAAAAACCTACACGAAGTGCGCGAAATGAGCCGTGACAAGGGACGAAGTCCAGTTTTTCTCTGACCTTTCAGCATACGTAGTGAACAACAACCACAACACTATTAACTATTACTCAGCCTAACAATATGGCATGAGTATTACTAGTCATAATACCTGCCTCTGTCAGATGTGTAGATGCCGCAGAAAGCAACTGTTTGCGAGGAAGCATTCACCTCTCAATGTCACTGCTAGCAAACACTAGCTAAGATGCTAATACAACAACTTCCATTAACGCGAGTCTGCGTGTATTAGGGACAGACTGTGGCTTAGACATATTTGTCCATTTACATTTACAGTAATAAAAGCTATACAAGCTACAAAATTAATGTTTTACCTTGATGAGCGGCGACACTGCAACGGGGGGAACCATGTTGAAGCTAGGATGTGACTTCCGGTCGAAGCGGAAATAGTTTTTTTTCCTTGAACGACGAAGTCAAGCAGTGCAAAATTGGACTTTTAGCGGAACATGAAATAATAATAATAATAATAATAATAATAATAATAATAATAATAATAATAATAATAATAATAATAATCGTCATCATCATCATCATACGTCAATGCAAACAGTGGGCTAACACAACAGATATAAAGCTACAATATCGTGCCAACTTGGACAAGGTAGAGTGCTTTAACAAGTTAGAAAAAAATAATTATTTGTTGAATATCTGTTGCAAACAATATTTCGTTAGACAACACGGTTTAATTCGAGTTTTTCTTCCATTTATATCTAAGCTTTTATTAATGAGGCAGTGTTTATTTGATAAATCTTAGAAATTGCATAATGTAGTTTCAGAGGACGTTTCCAAAAATGTGTAAGAGATACTGATTTGGTCCGTTTTAGTGTTTATTTCAATTCTGTTTAGTTTCATTTAGTTTGCACGTTTTTATTTAGTTAGGATTTACTTTATTTAAATTTTCATTTTATTTTTGTTTTGGGCAATATTTGTAAAAGTCAGTATTTATGAATCTTAGAATATACCATATACCATATAGAACATACCATAACAATATACCAATATATCCAGACATGGACAGAAATATGTCAGATTAATGTGCTTTTTTTCAGCATATGAACAGCTATTCAGCAGTCAGCTTGGCTCAGAATGGAGACCTGATAGTCAGAAATAACAGGAAAATCCAGAGCATCTGATAAACAAAAGTGCATTATACGTGAATAAAACTAACATTTCTGATGATAAAAACATCTTTGTTTAGGAACAAGTTTTTAAAGAGCTTTACAATGAAAGC